AAAAAATATATGTAATATGTGTTGTTATAATAAATGCATTTAAAGGGCAAATCCTCGTCGCTTTAACTTTGATTCTTTGGGAAACGCAATGTTAGCTCTTTTTGAAGTGCTTTCGTTTAAAGGATGGCTCGATATAAGGGATGTCTTACTCGCAAGACTATCGCCTGTAAATTCACTTTTATTTGTTACTTTTTTGTTATCAAATAACGCATCCATTCATTCAATTATATAATAATTGTTACTGACATTTGTATTTATGATTAATTTGACTTATAGTTACACACAATCTATATTCACGTGTTTGTATTCCTTGGATGTATGATTGGGTTAACACTGTTTGTCGGTGTAGTCATTGCCAACTACGGAGAAAATAAAGGCACAGCTCTGTTGACTGTAGACCAGAGGCGATGGTGTGATCTTAAAAAAAGACTTAAAATTGCTCAACCCTTACATTTACCACCTAGGTATATTCATTGTTATAGCCATGCACAAATACACTTGTATGTAATATAAATGAAATATGATTGCCTTTGATAGACCGGATCACCATAAGGCTCGTGCCATTATCTATGATATAACACAACATATAATATTCAAAAGAGCGATAGCATTGTTGGTTTTGGCCAATTCTTCGCTGTTATGTGTTTCGTGGGACACAAAACAATCGCATACAATACCATTGGCCACAATCTCTGCCTCATTAACCTGTATTTTTGTCTTCGAAGTACTTATGAAAATGATTGCTTTCACAGCTCGTGGCTATTGGCAGTCGAGACGCAATCGTTACGATTTGTTTGTCACTGTTTTGGGTGTTTTGTGGTTAGGCTTACACTTCCTATTGATGGACGAGACGTCCAATGCTTTTGGATTTATTGTTGTTATATTGAGATTCTTTACAATCACTGGAAAACACGCGACACTGAAGATGTTGATGTTGACCGTTGCCGTCAGTGTCTATAAATCATTTTTCATTATAATGGGTCTCTTCTTATTAATATTGTGTTACGCTTTGGCCGGAGTTATACTTTTCGGTGCCGTTAAGTTTGGAGAAAACATCTCAAGACACGCCAACTTCCGGACGGCGCCCAACGGTGTCATAACACTGTTCCGAATCGTGACCGGAGAGGACTGGAATAAGATAATGCACGACGCGATGCTTTCGCCCCCATATTGTACACGAGGTCGCGACTACTGGTCCACAGATTGCGGCAATTTTTCCGCTTCGTTGTCCTTCTTTTGCTCATTTTATGTGTGCATCACTTATATTGTACTCAATCTATTGGTTGCTATAATTATGGAGAACTTCTCTCTGTTCTACTCCAACGAAGAGGACGCTCTTCTCTCTTACGCCGATATTCGTAACTTTCAAAACACTTGGAATTTAGTCGACTTATCCCAAAGAGGAATGATTCCCATCTCAAGAGTCAGATTTGTGTTAAGACTTTTGAAGGGAAGACTAGAAGTGGATCCAAATAAAGATAGGCTTTTATTCAAACACATGTGCCATGAAATGGAAAGACTGCACAACGGAGAGGACGTTACCTTTCATGACGTCCTTAATATGTTATCGTATCGATCGGTCGATATTAGAAAATCATTACAATTGGAAGAACTTTTAGGTCTGTTGTTTCACTTTTTCTTATCATTTTAATGAGTTTCAGAGCATAAACAGTAAACATTTTGAAATAAATAGTAAATAAATTGCATTATTTATAACAAACTCCAGAACAAATATATAATCACTACAGCAATGAGGAAATAAATAAATGTTAAGTTAATAATAATAATGTAATGTCTTATAACTAATAGCACGCGAAGAGCTGGAGTTCTTGATTGAAGAAGAGGTGGCGAAAGCAACAATCAGGTCGTGGCTCGACAAATGTCTTCGACGGATCAAACGGGAGAAACAGCACCAATCGCTGCTTCACTCATTGAGAGCTACAAACGAGCCGCTTATACCATTTAATATTCCAGCCGCTGATACTGAAGAGGTGGGCGCTATCGCCGCCATCCCTAATGCTAAGACCGCCACCCGAACCGATTCAATGACTTCCAATCGCAAGACATTACTGGCGCCCAACGAAATCCGAGCCCGAGTTCTGCCTCTTGTGTCAGAACGAGATGACAACGAAAGTGAAGATAATTTTCTTAAAAATACTAAAAAGAATTTAACTTTTCAGCCAAAGACACAACTTATTGTAGGAGAAGTTCACGAATGGTGGAACAGTCAGTAATGTGTTCATGGTTATTCTTGTATTTTATTGCATTTGTATTATTTAGTAATATACTATTTATTGTATTCTTGCCAATATTTCAGCCAACTTTTAACAAATACAGTAATTATGAAATTATAATTTTGTTAACAACGTTATTATTCAATACTGATATTGTGTATATTGATGTCAATTTAGTATTATTGTTATTATAACTGATTGTTATAAAACCTCGTATAATTTGTTTAACAAATGTTATGTTATGTAGTTATGTTTAATTAATAAAAATTTGCTTTCAAAATAAAATACAATAGTTATGACAAAGAAAATGTCTATGTTGGAAAATGTCTATAAAAATAAATTGTATTATTATTAAATAATTGATAAATTATTTTGTTTGTATCTTCACTTAACAAAAAGTAAGCATAAATATAGTAATTAGGAAGTGATTAGTGACACATACAGTAAGTGACCACTAGTGTAATGTTGAGAGCACTTCTTTGGTGTTGAATCACACTTTACTTAAACAGACCAACAAATAGAGAGCATTGTCTGAATTGGTGTGCATTTATTCAGCTCTGATGTCCCCAAAGAACTGCAGTAATTGTCAAACAAATTGCTCTCAAGAGGATATCTAAGCGCACATTCGTTTGTAATGGCGATGAATAAGAGAAAGCAATTCTTGAGCCATAACTTTGAAACTACAATAATAATAGTTATTGTTTGTGATTCTGTATTCACTATAATTGAGAGGGCAATGAAAAATAAAAACCTTTTTGCTAAACATTACTGCTTTACAAATGAATATCGGTATTATTAAAACACTAATTACTGCATAAATATTTAATATTAAGCAAATCTGAATTAGAAATGTATTTATTAAAAAATGTTGAATTTTATGCTAACAAATAATTTTATTTTATGATTTATAAAAATTATTATATAATAGATTTTGTGTTAATTATAGATAATGTACAAATTAGTGGCTTAAGTAAATAACAAATTGATTTAAAAGTAAAATCTCAGTTAAATCAATACTAAAAAGACTATGAATAATATTATTATTATAAAGAATAAGAAATATATTTATCTTAAATCGATTCATGACATCCAAAACATTGTATTCAAAATGCATATCAAGTCATGACATATTCATGTCATACATGGGCTCAAAATAAGACTTGTTTATACTATACCTCATCCTATTCTATATTCAAACGTATTATATATTTATATTTCGCTCATAAAGTGGTTCTGAGGTTTAATAACATGATAGAAAACTATAACACATACAGTAGTTGTGATAAAAGTGTGTGGAGTTATGGCAAACAATTCGTGATTTGAATAAAATTTACAAAACTTTTACTTTCATTTGATTTGATTACTTTGTAATCAATAAATATTCAATAATCGACTTTAGGTCTGCTTTTGAGTTGAAACGAATATTATGAAAGACATCTTTGACTGTAAATTTAATTAAATGCAAACAAAATTTTTAATATTGATTTTATTAACAAATTTATTTTAAAATTGAATTTAACTAATTTTATTTTAAAAATGTAAATTCAATTAAAAGTTAAATTATATATAAATTGAGTAAATAATTGAAAAATTGATATTAATATAAACGAATAAATAGTTTGTTGAATATTTGATGAATTACTTAAGCTATCGATCCGTGGTTTACAACTACCAGAATATGTATAAGAGATGCAGTGCTGATGCATAAGTGATGACGAGATTTGCTTCAGATATGTTTCAAAAAAGTCTACCGCTTTCTGACCACAATCTCGACGAACGAAATCTATTTGACATTCAACTGACTCTTGAAATGCACTGCAAATTAAACAAATTTACAATTTGATATGAAATTAATAAAATGGATGTCAATTAAAATTGAAATAATTAATAAATTAAAAGTCAAAACCAGCAAAATTTCTTGAGTTCCGCCTCCATATCAGGTGTGTTTTGTGGATCAATAGTCATGTTCTGTACTTTTCTCAATATTATGGCACACTTTTGGTCAGACATCGAGACATTCTTAAAGCATTGGGCATAACGTAAATAATCTGCAAATATATTTAAATCTTATCATATGCTTCATTAACTCATATTTTATTGATATAAATTACATATTTAAATTAAACCATGTTTTATTGCTAACGTGTGGTTTTATAATAGATATTTAAACAAATATTACTCTTACGAGGGGTTATTGTTAGGGGTTTAAATTATTTAAAAACCTTATACTTAACGTAAAATATGAAAAATATGTATAATATACGTATGTATTATTATAGTTTGTGTAAAGATATTATTGGATAGGCGTTTAGTAGGTCCTCATCTCACATCTCTCAAGAGAAAGGGTGTGAACTTTAATGACTGAAAAATTAAAACAAAGTATTGAAAACACTGTCTAAATGACTATTTTGATCAATGATGCGAATGACGTCTCTTTGAAATTAATTATATTTCTCAAAGTCTTTAATAACTAGACTTTACTTTACGTTCACTTTAGTGGTGATGTTTTCTCTATTCTAATAAATATTTTTGCCAAATGTTCATATAATTTGCTGTTTTTGTATTAAAAAACCTTAATGATCAAACTATGGAATATATACAACATTTAGTTATACTATAGTTATTTAGTATTTACTGTATAACAACGTTGCTCGAGATGTTTAAGAACTTACATGATTTATATTAAACATAATATACAGAATATATGCATTCTCTTACAACATGCATATAATGCCATATATTGATATTAAACTTCCTAATATCTAAATATCTAGATGACAATTTTTGTAAATAATATGTTTATGAAAACTAAAATTGGAAACAATTGTTACTGTTTTGGAAGTCTCCGGTTTTGCACAATAGATTCAGCACTTGTTTAGTTCCGTTCACTATTTCTTCAAATAGATTTTTTTGGCTCCGATTTGTGCAGTTCTTCAATATTTTGATCAATGATGCGAATGACGTCTCTTTGAAATTAATTATATTTCTCAAAGTCTTTAATAACTAGACTTTACTTTACGTTCACTTTAGTGGTGATGTTTTCTCTATTCTAATAAATATTTTTTGCCAAATGTTCATATAATTTGCTGTTTTTGTATTAAAAAACCTTAATGATCAAACTATGGAATATATACAACATTTAGTTATACTGTAGTTATTTAATATTTACTGTATAACAACGTTGCTCGAGATGTCTAAGAACTTATACGATTTATATTAAGCATAATATACAGAATATGCATATAATGCCATATATTGATATTAAGCTTCCTAATATCTAAATATCTAAATGATAATTTTTGTAAATAATATGTTTATGAAAAATAAAATTGGAAACAATTGTTACTGTTTTGGAAGTCTCCGGTTTTGCACAATAGATTCAGCACTTGTTTAGTTCCGTTCACTATTTCTTCAAATAGATTTTTTTGGCTCCGATTTGTGCAGTTCTTCATGTGATTGTCGGCACAAACGACGCCTTCTTTTAATTTCCTGTTACGGAAACAATCAAAAGAGCAAAAGATTTTTATAAGTTTGCAAATAAAAAATGATTTTTATTAAAAACGAGTGCTTTGTATGGATTAGTTGGAGAATATGTGGTAATGATCATTGATGGTGTTGAGTGCATACCTACAAGCCAGGTACAAGTTCTCTCTATTGGTGGCAAACGCCAAACTGCTGTTTTGTGTCACTTCTTGTATTGACGCCAAACATAAGTCAAATGATGATAGACTGCAGTTGTTGTTGTCGTTTCCAGAATTTGTTGCCTCCGATGTCGTGCTTATCCTCTGATGAGATTTCCGTTTTGCTCCTTTTAAAACATGGGATACTTAGCAATACTTTAAGCTTTTTAATTGGTATCACTTTTTATTTTATTAAAATATTGTCAACATCTTAAATATAAGTTTGCAATTTATAAAAACAACGGATTTATACATAACAATTACTGGATATATCACACATTTTGCTAGTGTGGCACATCAAGCAATAAATGTACAATAAAAGCTTGTTTAAACATAATTTGTATGTTAAAGTATGTACAGAAATAATGGATTATAATAAAATGTTTTTTGCATAAATTGTTATTGAATACAGAGATTGTGTTCATCACATCATTTGTCGACATATTCCTCGTTTATTTCCTTTCCTCGCTATTAGGGTTGAGCTGACAATCGCCTCAGGATTTCTTAACAGTTGAATAAAACTTCTTAACAATCCTTATGTATGTACACTATATGTACACTATTTGGTAATAGTTGTGAATATATACTGTTTTACAGTATTCAGTGAAAATGTGATTTCGGTTTTATAGTCAGTTAGACTTTATTGTAGATTATAGTCTAAAAGGCTATTGTATTGCCGATAGAAATGTTCACTCAATACAGTGCCAGTCATTGCATCGGTAATAGTGATGTGTGAACACCAACTCAAACGAGATTTGTGTTCACAAAAAATAAAGTATAAAAAAATGTTTGCAAATCCCATATAAAACCTTCAGTTGACAAAGTTTTTCGCAAAAATCCTTACTTTTCGAATCCATTGCAAATCATTTCATCGCCTTTTTATCAATAAAATGTGGAAAATTCAAACAATACTCAAAATATTTTTATTTAAAATAAACAGAAAATCAAATTTAGGTGTATTTATGATTTTAGTAAACACTTAATTAATGTTTACAACAAAATGTCTATAATATAGAAAATAATTTTTTATTATAAAATCTCAATTGTTTCTGGTGTTTCAAAAATAACATTTTATTTGTGTTCACCCAACTGAATTCATGAATTATGAGAGGTACATTAAATATTCGGTAACTTTATTATTATTATTTATAAATTTAAGTATTATTTGTCTAATCTTTTTGTGGTATTGTTTTTATTAATTAAAAATGGGTTCAGTTTAAACAGCAATTGCATTAATAATACAATTGTATAAATCAGAGTATAGTTTAGTTGAATATTATTTGGACAAATGTCTAGAATATAATATGTATTATATTGTGTGCTTAACTGACTGTAAATGA